AATTAGGCTTGGGTATGTCCCAATGCTGGAGTGTAGTAGCAGCGTTCTGGAAAATGGACGTTGACTTACCTGAATGTCCTTTTTCGGAATGCTGCGTATACACTCAATTTCCCTCCCTTTAGTTGTTCTGTTTGTTTTGAGAAGTTTGGAGTTACTGTGGTTTTTGTGTTAATAAAGCTTGTTGTGGTTCACCTGTGGTGTCTTTGTTCAAGACTGGGGATCCGAGTGCAAAAGGGGGCGTGGTGAGAGCACAGAGTAGGAAGTTAAATCAATAAAAGGTTCTCTCAGTTGCTGTCAGAAAAGAGGATTGAACCCAATGCTGGAGTGTATACGCAGTGTTCCGAAAAAGGACGTTCAGGTAAGTCAACGTCCAATTTATGTTGCTAAGTGGTGAGTTTTGCCCCCTTTTACGACTTTTCTGTACGCAGTTGTTAAGTGAATTGTTGCATTTGTGAAGGTTGTAACTTGAATCTGGATTCCCCATTTATTTTCCTTCTTAGAAGGTCGCAAAAGGGGATCATGTGATCCTGGGACACTGCAACCATCATAAATATGAGTCAGTTGCCAAGCATCTGAGTTTTGATCATGTGACCACAGGGATGCTGGAATGGTTGTAAATGTGAAAAATGGTCATAAGAGAACCTTTTTCAGTGGTGTTGTAAGCTTGATTTATAACAAAATGGTTGTGGTCACTAAATGAACTCTTGTAAGTTGAGAACTACTTGTACAATTCATGGTCTGGTAAAGAACCCATTTCTCTACTTTATCATGAAAAGAATAATAATAATAATTAAACATGTGCTTGCTTTTACTTCCTGACTGAAAGAAAGGAATATAATAAAAATAGAGATTTCCAGGACATTCTCTTTTATGGTCCTTTGGTGCTGGAAATGAATACATTTCTATCCTGCACAGAATTTGATTACTGGCCTTTCACAGGGACCATAATACATACCCACTGAAACTGTTGTTATTTTAGCTATAAACTATCTTGAAACTCAAGTATTATTGTGAAATTACATTGCAGGTAGCTCCCAGGTTTTTTTATTAAAGACTGATTGGGACTTTACAAATTACTACACTTAATAGTTGTTGCTATCATTATGCAGATCTCAACTTACAACCACAGTTGGGAATAGAATTTCCATTGCTACATTAGGTGGGGATTAACTGAATTGTATCTGATTTTATGACCTTTTTTGCCCTGGTTGTTAGGTGAAACATTGCAGTTGTAAAGTGAATTCACCTTCCCCTATTGTTTTGGCTTGTCGGCAACTGTCTGGGAAGGTTGGTGATCACATGATCCTGGGGTGTTGCAGCCTTCATCGATTGCCAAGTGCCTGGATTTTGATCACATGATTGTAGAGATGCTTCAGTGTCATAAGTGTAAGGTCATAAGTCACTTTTTTTCCAGTGCCATTGTTAACTTTGAACAGTCACTAAACGAATGTAAATCAAGAACTATCTTTATAGTAAGAAACATAATGTACAGAAAGATAACTGTAGAAGACACCCAGTCTGAGAGTGAGGGAGGGGTCAAGGACGTCATCAGTCTTGATTCCCTTTGCACCCACAAGAGATCTAAGTCCAGCCCTCCTTGCATTCTGTTGACTCTTATCCAATGCAATCCTAAATTGCATTAACAGAGGGATTGAATCAAGATCATGTGAGGTACTAATACCACTCTGTAAAACCTTAGTAAGACCACACCTAGAATACTATATCCAGTTTTGGTCACCACACTATAAAAAAGACGTTGAGACTCTAGAAAGAGTGCAGAGAAGAGCAACAAAGATTATTAAGGGACTAAAGGCTCAAACATACGATGAACGGTTGCAGGAACTGGGCATGTCTAGTCTAGTGAAGAGAAGAGAAGGACCAGGGGAGACATGATAGCAGTGTTCCAATATTTGAGGGGCTGCCACAGAGAAGACGGGATCAAAGCACCTGAAGGTCAGACAAGGAACAATGGATGGAAACTGATCAAGGAGAGATTCAATCTGGAAATAAGCAGAAATTTTCTGACAGAACAATCAACCCATGGAACAGAAGTTGTCTTCAGAAATTGTGGGATCTTCATCACTGGAAGCTTTCAAGAAGAGGCTGACAGCCATTTGTCAGAAGTGGTGTAGGGTCTCTGCTTGGATGGGGGGGGGTTTGGATTAAATGACCTACAAGATCCTTTCCAATTCCATTATTCTAAATTCTAAATTTATCCTCTGCCAACTTGCTTTGACTGTGAGTAGTCCAGATTCTTGTACAGAACTAGCATGGAATAAATTTGTACCCATTTGAACACTGTCAGATGTGCCTCCGTTCAAAACTTAAGAAAGAAAAAACCCAACTCCATATCTGTAGAGAAAGATACTTTTACTGAGTATGAACTGATAGCAATGAAAGAAAAGTAAGATCGGAGTCTAAAGGCGTGAAAATTACATATTGAAAGTATTCCCCAAACCCCTCCCCACAAGGACCCTGGCTGAATGTCCAATCCCCAGCTCCCCAAGGTATCATGTGAGGTGCATCTTCAGATGGCCCCATCCATTTGGTATGCCAGAACAGTTGACCTTGACTGACTATCAACAAGTCCATTCAGCTGCTCAGAAGATGATGAGAGTATCCCTCCCTTTTCTTCCCTTTTTGGTCACATCACGAGACATCTCCACCAGCTCGCTTCCCCCACCCAAATACCTATACATTTCTCCCCCCCCCCATTGCTATGGCAGCCGATAGCAAGCAAGCATCATAGAGGCTGACTCTTCCATGACATTTTAGTATGTGTTATGTTTCTTACTATAAAGGTAGTTCTTGATTTAAAACTATTTGTTCAGTGACTGTTGGAAATTAACAATGGCACTAAAAAAAAGGTGACATGGCCTTGCACTTATGATAGATGAAGCATCTCTGCAATCACATGGTCAAAATTTGGGCGCTTGGCAATCATCATGTATTGATAATGGTTGCAACATCCTAGGATCATGTGATCACCATTTGCAACCTTCCCAGACAGTTGCCAATAGATAAGAAAGATAACTAGAAAATGACCAAGCTGAGCCTGAAAGAGGGTTCAAGCATATCATTAGTCTTGAGTCCTTTTGTGCCCACAAGAGATGCACATCCAGCTCACCTTGAATTCCATTGACTCTTATGTACCGCCAACTTGCTTTGACTGTTAGTTGTTCAGATTCTTGTAGAGAATGTTTAGCATCCAACAAACTTGCATTCATTTGAACCATCTTGACTCCTGATTTCCTGCGCTTGACATTAACTCTCTGTTTTCCAATAACATCACCACTCAATGTGATTCATGACAAATCCTAATTTAAAATAAAAATGCAGAAAAATTAAGGCAGGAAATATGGTGAACCTTAAAAGCGAGGAAGTCATAAAAATTCCTGAGCTTTCACCCATGCCTGGAAGCTGTTGCGTATGTATTGCATACTATTTATTTATTAGCTTCCCATAGCTGAGTGTGCCACTGGGAGATAAGCTAACAGAAATTAATCCATTTAACTTGGCTACCATTTTAGTTTGTTGCTAGACAACCGGTGACCTCTTGAGTCATCCTTTCAGAGATATTTCCTTATTGGATGCTTCAAGGCTTTCAACAGTGACAGAACTTACAATATGCTGCCTTCTCTCGAAAAGCTGGACTACGTTCAGAGATGTTTCTGCCTTAAAAATGACAGGTTGAACTGTCAAACATTACAGCACAAAACATTTTAGGACATTCTGTACATTATGCCATAAATGATAATCATGTTTGTCATCAAATGTTGGGTAAAATTTGCCAAATTTCAATTCCACATGGATTTTTGGCCCATTTGAAGTCCCTGGGTTCAAAATATTTTGCCCAATGGTATAATGTTTCGGCCAATTAAAGGTTTCAGGAATCAGAGTTTTAGTAAGTATATAGATTTTTTTGAGAAAAGCTGTTGGCACATTATCCTTTCCATCTGGAATTTGGCATGAGAAAGCAAGGCAGATATGGTTGCAAGTAGGGGAAATGTTAACAGCTGAAGTTTGATAAAATTGCACATAATTCTTAATTATCAGAAACATTTGCAAAAGCATTAATCTCAGTCTTCAGCTTCCTTGCATTCTGGAGGGAGAAACCCAGTTGAAGACTGCCTTAAATCTGACCTTACAGTCATGTTTGTTTGCAAGGATTTGTTACCTTGGGATAGATAACAGCAAAAGTGTTTTAATCCATACTTCTCTTAACCAAAGTCATTTCTTTATTCTGAAAGATTTATTCTTAATTTTTTTTTTTTTGGTTTCATTAGGGCAGGGAACGATCGTTGCAATCTTGGCAAAGGATGAAAAAGTACATGATGTTGGGTTTTGCACAATAAATTTTCATTATAGTAGTGAATAATTACAGTTATTAAAAAATAAGAGCTTAACAGCTGCTGATGTCCGAGTCATGTTTATTTCTAGGTTTTTGTTTCACCACTTCAGCTTTTCTTTCTTTTTTTCTTACTGACATCTTCAATCAATGTTCCCAAAAAGAGAATATAGACTCCCCCCTCCCCCCCAAAAAAAGTAGAACAAGGGCAAAGAGATCTCTTGAACACCATTCAAACTACATATATAAATTTGACCCCTTGGAAATTTGCTTTAGAATGCAGTGCTCTAAAGATTTCTTTGGGGCACATTCTCCTAATTTGAATCTTTTTGGATAGCTACATAAAACTCCCTTTTATGACTCTGTAATCCCTTAATCTGGAGTAGAGTCAAGGCGACTGGATGTATCTGAGCATTTACTGGCTGGCTGCCTGTCCTGACACCTACCTGGAGTTCACAGCAGATTTTTTTTTCTTTGCATCTAGGAGAGAAATATCTGCTGCTACCTAGGAGTAAACTCTCAACCTTCCAAGTGGGAGGTGAGCGTCTTCACCACTAGGCCACCACACTGTCTTATTTGGATAGCTACATTAGCTGAATCCAATAACTTCTCTCTTGCTAACCAGCAATTCTCTCTCCCTGGTTCTGCACAGTTGCTGCCCTCTAAAAGATGCACTACTACCGGTATCCTTCTGCTGAAATCAGCTGTTGGTATAAATATCTCCTCTTCAGCTACAACATCATCTTCTGGGTAAGTCCCAAGTCTGTGTGTCTGTGTCTGTGTTTGTGTGTGTGTTTGACCTTGGCCACTGAGAAGGTAAAGACTCACCTAAATTGAGTCTGCTTCCTTATGATTTCATGAAGATGCTAATTTCATTTTCTCAGCCATGGTTGACCTTGCCTTCTTGTGAGATCATCCACAGGAAGTTCTGAACTGAAGAAGCTTCTTGGATGAGAAGCGAAATATTTTCAAGGAAAAGAAAACACTTCTCAGTCTGAGTTCCAGCCCTGGGATTTCCTAGCTGGTGTCTCATCCAAGTAAGAACCGTCTCTGACTTTTCTTTACTTCTGGGAACAGACAAGGTCAACCAACTGAAGCCCCTATTCAGATGCCTCACCATTACAATATATGATTTCCAGTATATTTTGGCCCTGGGTATTTCTTTTTTTATAGCTTGTTCCTAGTAAAGAAATAAGCGAATGGTATTTCTATGTACTAAGCAGAGCTGACTCTGCTTAGCTTTTTTGAAATCATCTGAGGTTGGCCAACTGGGTTACTATGGTTCCATGATAAATACCTGAACTTGCAAGAACATTGTTCTGAAATCATATTATTATTGCTGTCATTCTGCGGACACAGAAAAAGATGCACTCAGCCAAAAAATAACGTGCCATGGTCCTAGCTAGTGGTCTTCTTCATGAATATAAATGCTTTACAGATTGCATTGAATTTTCCTTCTTTTTTAAGATGGTTGCAGAAATATGAGCCTTAACAACAGCTCTCTTGGGTACATTGAAATAATTTCCTGAGTTGCAGTTAAGAAGATAGTAGTGTTTTGGAGATGTTAGCCGTAGATTCTAATCAATAATATTTTGCTAAATGTAATTAATAGTAAAGATGGCTATAACAATGAAAAGGCTTGTCATTCTACATTAGAAGAGAATGTAGAATAACTTTATTGTCACTTTGATTCAGAGTATTAGCCAGAATATAGGAATATGACTGTTAATGGAGAAATCTTTTTCTTAAATAATAGACCTATGCTGTTAAAGGTCAATAGCCCTAGGAAAGCACATAAGTAGTTCCTTGACTTACAACCGTTTGTTTAGTGATTGTTTGAAGTTACAATGGCACTGAGAAAAGTGACTTTTGATCGTTTTCAGACCTACGACCGTTGCAACATCCCCATGGTCATGTGATCAAAATTTGGCAACTGGCATGTACTTATGACAGTTGCGTGGTCTCTGTGATTGCCGTTTGTAACCCTTTCTAGCTGGCTTCTGACAAGCAGAGTCGATGCAGGAAGCCAGGTTGGCTTAACAGTTGCCCAATTTCACTTAACAATGACTGCAAAAAGGTCATAAAATGGGGCAAAACTCACTGAACAGCTGCCTTGCTTAAGAATGGAATTTTTTGGCTCCTGATTGTGGTCGTAAGTCGAGGACTCCCTGCAATGGGAATGGTTTGTTTAAAACAGTGGGTCTCAACCTTCCTAATGCCGCGACCCTTTAATACAGTTCCTCATGTTGTAGTGACCCCCAACCATAAAATTATTCCTAAGACCATTGAAAATATGTGTTTTCCGATGGTCTTAGGCAACCCCTGTGAAAGGGTTGTTCAACCCCCAAAAGGGTCCCGACCCACAGGTTGAGAACCACTGGTTTAAAAGATGGGCAATCTTGTCAGACGAGATGCTTTTTTGTTTCTGTCGGCCTCCTGCATCTGTAAATTCGAATTTCAAGGGCATCATCATTGAAAATCAGCAGCAAAAGGTTCTCGTTTTCAGACAGGAAATTCACAAATGCTAGCCAGTGCCCTAAAATAGATTTAAAAGCAGTTTAGAAAGCCCACACTTCCATTGTAAAGTGTAAAGGGAGGAAGGAGAGAATCGGAAACTGTGTGACATAGCTTTCAATACGGCGTTCCATCCAGACGGTCATCGCTTCGGAAGAACTTTGCTGATATAATCCAGATCTGATATTTCTGGGAGCAGAATTAGGAAGTCCTGGAGATCTCTTATGACAGTCTTAGTGTTTGTTTTATGGCACATTTTCTTGGCTAAACTTGGGCAACCTTAGCTTTTTTAGGATTGCACAACAGCTGCCAAGGACAAAGAGAAACATGCACTTTCCAAGGAAAGATAAAGCTGTTTTGAAGAGTTGTGGACAGGTGTTAAGTTTGAGCGTGCCCCGAAGGCATTTTTGGGAATCACCTCGGAAGCGTTGTGCATAGTGTAAGAACCCTGTGTCCATTAAATCATGTTTCTACATCAGGGTTATGAGTTTCGCTAGCTTCTTTCCTGACTTTCGCTAAGGAAATTATCATTCTTAAGAGAATCTCTGCTGATTTGTTTTGTTGACTGACAAAGTCCTCATGAAGTTGGAGTCCAGCAGATCAGGAGCCTCCAATACTTGGTGAAGGACAGTTTGCTGAAAACAGTGCCTTTATTAGTTTTGAATTATGATCCTTAAGGATAGAGGCTGCAGGTTTCCAGCTGGGAGAAAATATTGGATTGATTGATTGAATTATTCAATTGCCATCATGTCAGTGTCAACTCTTAGCAATCACATAGATAGATCTCCAAGATGAACTGTCCCTTCAGGTCTTCCCAAAGTGTATTCATCACCATGGCAATTGTACAGATTAAACCGTATCCTTCTGCAAATTAAAGAACAAAGAACAATGCCATAACTAAGACTTTGAACTGTCTAATTCTTTACCCTCTGAAATAAGGTTCCCCCTGAGATCTATGTAGCTCCCACCTTGATAGTTCATCATGTCAAATACAGGAAATCAGGAGTCCAAGCAATTCAAATGAATATATAGGTTTATTGCTAATTTATAATCTGTACAAGAATCTGAATTACTAACGCTCAAAGCAAATAGGTGGTAGACAAGAGTCAATGGAATTCAAGGTGGGCTGGATTTATGTGCATGAAGAGATTCAAGACTGATGATGCATTTGACCCCTCCATTCCTCGTGCTCAGCCTAATCATCTCCTACACATGATCTTTCTTACTTTTACTTTCTCAGCTTTGGAGGCTTTTCCAAAGAGCTAAAATCCTCACATAATGTATTGTAAAAGCCGCATCTCTAAAGGAATTCCACTCTACTGTTTTTCTATATATATTCAGTGCACCAATCGAAGGATGGATCTTGTTCCCTTGGTACTTTAAAAGGCTTGTTTAACACCTAAGTGGAAAGAACAAGTTGCGGCCAATGGATTTGGATCCCGTCCCTTCATCCACCTATTTGAGCAATTCCAGCTTGCTTCCACTTTTATGAGTATGCAGATCTACAGTTACTTCCTGTCTCCCAAGTGCAGCAGTCTGGCCTTTTTGAATAGCTACTTGATTTCCGTAGAGAGAGTTCAAAGGGTTACGGCATTGTTCTTTGATTTTCAGAAGGATACAGTTTAATCTTTGTCTGTGCAATAAGAGACACTTCAGATCTGGGGTTTCAGACTGAACTGAAGTCTCTTCTGTGCGTGTTATCAATAGCACTGAGGACACCAGAATAGGACAACTTGCCATGACCAACTCACCATGGCACTAGTCACCATGGCCAACTCATTGTGGGCCAACTTGCAGTGGGATAATTTAACAATTCAATTCAATGATTTAAAATAAATAAAATAATTTAATTTTTATCATTCACATTTCATTCTGTCCCTTCTTTTGCATCCTTTCTTTAATGACTGTATTCCACCATTTCTTTGATATTAGTGTAACTCTTGTCCCGCAACAAGTTCTGCTGTGGCAAGTTATCTCGCAGTGAGTTGGCCATGGCAAGTTGACCATGGTGAGTTGGCCATGGTGAGTGGGCTGTGGCAAGTTGGCTGTGGCATATTGACTGCAGCAAATTATCATAGACCCGGAGACACAGCTTCTAAAGGAAAGCTGCACAAGTCACAGCTGTGTGTGAAGAATAAAGAAGCGCTAATAAATCCAAATGCTCTTAAACTGGAAAAAATCATAAGGTATAAAGATATCCTAAATGAACAAAGAGACTTAAAATCAAGACAGGAGCTAAAAAAATCAAGGAATCGATTTGGACTGGTGGCCATATATCCAAATACAAATGAGATACAAGAAAGGTGTAGAAATATATGGATTCTATAAAGAACCCCTAGAATTAGATGAGATATTTCTAGGGACAGATGATAAATTAATAAAGAAAATATAAAGCTACTTATTGAATTTTAAAATGGAAAAAGAGAGTCTAAAAGAAACTATGATAGTATGAGCCAAAAATTTTGGATATACTATAGAATTAGACAATTGGCAAAAACTCTGGGAAAGAAACTACAAACTAATGATGTCAACAACATATAAAGAAAACCTTTACAAAATGTTCTACAGATGGCATTTGCCACTAGCAAGAATGGCAAAGATGTTCCAAAACATATCGCCAGAGTGCTGGAAATGTAAACAGATACTGGGTTCCTATTACCATATCTGGTGGACCTGTCCAATGGTGATAAAATATTGGTTAAAAATAAAAAGGTGGTTAGAAGAAATGACAACACAACAAATAGATTTCAAACCAGAATTGTTCTTACTAGGTATATTACCAGGAAAATATAATAAAAGAATTATATATTTAATATTACATGTGATAATGGCAGTGAGAATTATGTACGCAGAAAATTGGAAATATGAAAATATACCTATAGATGAAAATGTAATAAAGAAAATATTAGACTGTGCTTAAATGGACAGGTTAACAATGAAAATTTATATATTTTATTTATTTAGTTCGATTTATATGCTGCCTTTCTCCAGAGACTCAGGGCGGCTTACAATGCATTTAAAAAACCATTATAAAAACATTTAAAAATTAAAACGGTGCCATGGTCACCCACGCCCTTGTTACTTCTCGGTTGGACTACTGTAACGCCCTCTACATGGGGCTGCCCTTGGGATGCACTCGGAGGCTACAGCTAGTCCAGAATGTGGCCGCGCGGGTTGTTACAGGGGCTTCTCATTACTCCCGTGTGACACCTCTCCTGCGCGAGCTGCACTGTCTG